TGTCCTTCTACGGTGGACAGCGTCAGGAAAAATTTGCCCCCAGAAACATAGTGCACTGGTAGAGCTCAGTGGAGTTGTCGACGGGTAGTTTATCAGTACGACGTTGCCTGAAACGCTGGTAGGGAGGTGGTTTGCGCACTAACAAGGGAGGTCTTTCAGGGCAAGGTGCGCTTTTTGGAAACGGTTTAGTACATGTTGTAGGGACGCATGTATGGACCACAAAACCATGTTTCGTTTTCGCTGAACGGTTTTAGTAGTACCAAAAAAGTGGTGAATAATACTCTTGATGGTTCAATCCCCCGCGGCGACTAAATTTTGCAATCAAGGTTGGCGCCGGGTACCCCCCAGGAGGCCCGTCGCGCGGCAAGAAGGCAAGTCAGCGGACGAGTCGCGCGCGTATTAGGGATTTCGCGTCAAGTTAAATAGAATGTCCCATTGCACGTCCTACATCGCACATCACGCGCTGCGACTCGTCCGCCGACTCTGCCTTCTTGCCGCGCGACGGGCCTCCTGGGGGGTACCCAAATCTGCTTGAGCGTTCTTGACGTCATCGTCGATGTCGGCTAAGCGGCTCATCACGTTTTACGTATGGGTGTGTGACAGTGCACTACTGAAGCTAGGGTTGAGCTGAAACGTGACCCACGTGGTGTAATGGTTAGCACACGTGCCGAAAGCAGGAGATCGGAGTTCGGGTGATAGCGAGGAGACCTTTTACCCATAATTCAGCACTCGCGTGTGGTTTATGAAGTGAAAAAACTATGAATTATGAATCATTCGAAGAGCCGTGGACTTCTGAATTTTAATTTTCGAATCTTGACTTGGTATGGAAAATGAAAAATGTGGCATAGAATTCTGTTTACTCGAGCCTCAACGGCCGTAGTCTTCTTGTGGAGCTATGAAACTGAGCTTTTAGGTACCTTCGATTGCTTGGAGGTAGCAAAATTTGTCCACTGGCAGAAGAATTTTCTGAACATTTACAGTAGGCTCCTTCTCCTAAGGGCACGTGGGATAAGGAGGGCAAGCTAGTCGTCGGTCCTTTTCCAACCTTCTAAACAAAATTCTATAACATAGATGTCCTAAAACAATCTTTAAGTCAAAATGGAATAGTGACAAAACTTTGGATGCAACAAAGAAAATGGTTAATTATATGCTGAACGAGTGATTTCTTTCTTTAAATATGAGCCCAAGGTAGTGTGAGTAATGCGAAGAGTAAAGTTGTTTACGCTCAACAAATGCGAACGATGGAAAGGTAATTGGATTTGAATAGTAATCAGAGAAAAGAGTAATTCCCATAAACGCTTAGCGCCGAGAATTCTGGAATGACTACGCTCCTGAAAACATGTTTTCA